TTATTTTAATTATTACCGGTTTAACCCGGTCTAACCCCGATCTAACCCATTGACCCTTAACCCACTATCTTAACCGGTTTAGTGTCCGGTCTGGTTTTTTGTTCCTTGATCATGACACGCATTGAGTTCTGAATTTGAATCTTGGTGTTGGGAGTGGACTCAACAATCGTAAGTGCACTCAGATTAGGCAACTGTGTCACGGTCGAGGGGCCCGAAATCACTTCAAGAATCTACATAAAAGACCATTTCCTTCTACCAAATAAAGCGGAAAGGATTCAATTTTTTTCAGGGTTAAGGTGATTGAAGTTTTTTTAGGTGTATTTAGTACTTTAAAGTGTTGAGCGTGCTTAAAAAATTATTTCAGGATACCGGATATATTACAAAATATTTTAAAATGTTAGATATATAAAAAAAAATATTTTGAAGTACTGGATGTATCTTAACTCTCGCCTGCACAAGTCTTATACCACTTGTCATTTATTTTCCAAATAACAAGGCCACGGTCATGTAAATTTTTTGGTCATGGCTATTCAACCAACTCTTACGCGTTAAGGTGTTCCCCCCCCCCCCCCAAAAAAAAGAATAAAAATACATATTGAATACTAGTAAGGTTTTTGAATATCTAAGAAGCATTCAAATTCAAGCATGTGAAAATTATAAAAAGAAGATCAGATATTTTAATCTTGAGCATTTATGGCAATTTGTGTGGGGCGCGCACAGAGTCTGGCACTTCTTTTTTGTTTTTGTTTTTGTTCTTTTCTTGGCATCGCCAAAATACAAAAAAGATAAAAATAATCATGCGAAAACAAAAACTGGCATTGATGTGCACTTATCTCCCCCCCCAAAAAAAAAAATATGGGATCCACCATCAGATATTTGCCCAACAAATTCAGAGCAATGATCACACTTCCACCTTTCAAGTTTCAACTTTCCCCATGCAATCCAAAGTCCTAATCTTCAGAGAGTATTTCACCCCTTAAAGTAGCAAAAGAAGCCAAATAGCTCATCGTTTCACTTATCCACATTCAGGCACAACGCACATAAAGATCTAATTTTTTATGTCTCCCTACTAAAATATTTACTCCTTACCCTCCGTAATAGTAGTATAAGAATATAATACTCTTCTGATTGTTAATATAAAATCCATTTAACTAATTTTATTAGATTAAGAAAGTTAGGTAAGTTAGTTAATTATAAGAAATGTGACACGTTTTTCTTAAAAAACCATAATCATCTTTCTTAATGCCTTATCTTTCTCTTCTATTTGATTATGATTGATGGAGTATCTATAGGGATAATTTAGAGAAAATTGATAAATATGAGAAATGAGTCTTATATTTAGGACCAAAACCAACTCTGTAATTGGATCCTATATTAAAGACCGGAGAAGTAATTAGATTTGGTTCTAAATATCAAACACTTCTATTTCATATAGTTATTTTTTTTCAAATTAATTTAACCAACTAATTAACTGACACAATGTGTTATACTATAATGTTACAAGGGAGTATTTTACAAAGATCATATCACGTATGTTATAAATTATAATTAACTAATTTTATTTAATTAATTTTTATATTAAAAATTGAAAGAAATATATATTTTTTGGAATAAGATGTGTGAAGTATATCTAATCTTCAAGCGACTCTATTTTTTTCCAAAAAAAACAAACATTGTAAGGATCTAATCTTACAACTGGAAAAAATCACTATTTTTTCTTTTTAATGTACAAACTAGATAATTAATTTGTAAATATTAATAAAATTAGTTATTCCGTTAGCTTTTCTAAAATAGCAATCTCATTAATTATATGCATTAAAACTATATATTGATGAAAACCTCTTCACATATGCCATCAATAGAAATACTCTGAGAAAAAACTATAAACTTAAAAAAAAAAAGATTGAGGTTTTATATTTATAATTAAAATAAATCTTTTTATTTACCTCTTATATTCAGAACCGATGATAATATTTATAACAGAGTTTGGCACTTTTCTTTGTTTTTGTTTTTGTTTTTGTGCTTTTTCTTTTCTTGGCATCGCCAAAATACAAAAAAGATAAAAATAATCATGCGAAAACAAAAACTGGCGTTGATGTGTCCTTATCTCCCCCCCAAAAAAAAATGTGGGATCCATCATCAGATATTTGCCCAACAAATTCAGAGCAACGATCACACTTGCACCTTTCAAGTTTCAACTTTCCCCATGCAGTCCAAGTCTTAATCTTCAGAGAGTATTTCAGCCGGGTGTGTTTGGTTGGAGGGGAGGGAAGGCCCCTCCCCTCATTTGGTTAAAAATTTTGGAGAGGAGGGAAGCCAAAATATTCCCTCCCCTCCCCTCCCTCCCCCTATTTTAGCTCCCTTCCAAATTGAGGGTTTATGGAGGGGAGCTAAGTTTTTAGACCATTATACCCTTATGATTTTTTTGATATTTTACAACCACCCATAAAATATGTTATTATAATATTTATTTTAAATAAAAAATATATTATCCTAAGTAAAAAATAAAAAATATAAATTATTATAATTGAAAAATATATTATAATAAAAATTAATATAAATTATTATAAAAATAAAAAATTATAATATTATAAAATTAATTATTTTTTATAAATATATTATTTATTAAATACATTTTAAAGCTGGAAAAAGGCATAGCCTAAAGAGAATAAAATTTCAATTTTTTTAGAGCATATAAAATTTATTAATTTGATTATTTCAAATATATTATTATATTAATTACAATTAAAAAATACTGTACCAATTTTTCAATGCACATATTAACATGATAAAACTGAATTTTTATTAAATTATATGATTTAAATTAAGATGTAAATTAATTTATATAATATATCAATAAAAAATATAAACTAATATATAAAGGTAAAATGGTAAATTGATTATTATTATCCCTTCCCTCCCCTTCTTAAACCAAACAAGAGATCATTAAATATCCCTCATTTCCTTTATTTTTATCAAACTAAACAAGGTGAGGATGAAACCTCCCCTTCCCCTACCTATCCAACCCTCCCTACCCTACCCTCAAACCAAACACGTTAAAGTAGCAAAGAAGCCAAATAGCTCATCGTTCTCTTATCCACATTTAGGCATAGCGCACATAAAGATCTAATTTTTTATGTCTCCCTACTAAAATATTTACTCCTTACCCTCCGTAATAGTAGTACAAGAATATAATATTTCTCTGATCTTTAATATAAGACTTATTTAATATACAAGCTAGATAATTAATTTGTAAATATTAATAAAATTAGTTATTCCGTTAGCTTTTCTAAAATAGCAATCTCATTAATTATATGCATTAAAACTATATATTGATGAAAACCTCTTCACATATGCCATCAATAGAAATACTCTGAGAAAAAATTATAAACTTAGAAAAAATGGATTGAGGTTTTATATTTATAATCAAAATAAATCCTTTTATTTAGCTCTTATATTAAGAACCGGTGATAGTATAATTGAAAAAACTACTCTTAATCCGGTATACTCAAATACTATAACCTAATCTCACTGTATTATGAAATAACCTAAAAAGATATTTATAAAATGAGGTGCGTATGATAACTTTTTAATTTTTTTTTCATTCAAAGGATATTTTATAGACGTTTCATTTTAAAGAATCTGAACTTCTGGAACCCACTAATACATAAGTACTATAAACAAACAGAATAAAACTGTCACAAGTCATAAGCATGTTATAATAACAAACAGCATATACTTAAAAAAGGGACCTCAAAACAAATTGCAGGAAGTTAGGGAGCCTTTTAAAGAATGAATGTAAAATAATATGGTCGGAAAGTTAAGGGTCGCTGTTTGACCCTCCCCACCTCATTATGGTGTCACACACAATTTGCACAACTTGTGCCCTTTTTCCCCCTAACCTCAATCTACAGAAAGCAAAACTTTTATTCCCAACTTTTTAAAATAAAATTTGAGGTATGTAAATATATTTTTTAAGAATATAATAATATAACATTAAATAATAAAAATTGGTTCACACGTTATAATTTATTAAAAATTTTTATCAGTGAATAACGTTATAAAGATCATGTTGTTATTATCATTACAAACATCTCTAATGTGTGATTAAATTAATGTCTACATGTTGCATGTGAGTTCTCCACAAACTTCAAATCCAAAAGGGGATTTTTCGAATGTATTGTACAGAAAAGATTCAATTTTACAGAAAAGATTGCGAATTTGAAATTTTCAAAGTTAGTTTTTATGAGGAATCAAATCATATGGCTTATATTCCAGTAGATTAGTGATTTTGGAAGACCTAACATTACTTAACTTAAACAAAACAATATTACTCGATCTAATTAACTAATTTAAGTAGATTAATAATATTAACTAAGTTAGTTAATATGATATTTTTTTAAAAAAATCACTTTAACTATTTTCCTTAAATTCCCTCCCTCCATCTCTTAATTTGAAAAAAAAATGATAAATATATGAAATAAATCTTATATATAAAATTAATATTAACTTTTTAATTAGGTCTTACATTAAGGATTGAAGGAGTATTTAGTTTCTAAAAACTATTTTAATTCTAATGTCAATATTTTTTTTAATTATATCACAAATGTTTAAATTCTAGAACTCAACCCCACTCACTCTTCCCACTTAGGTTAACATTAATTACCTATTTATGGATGAGATGCGAAAGAGATCAACTTTAAAATCCTCGTGATGTCCCAAAAAAAAAAAAAGTAGAGTTCTTCCTCAAAGGTTTTAACTTTACACACGATGGGACCAAAAGTCACATTCAAAAACAAAACAAGTTTTTTTTTTTAAAAAAATTTATATAAAAAATTGGGAAAAACTGAAAAGTAATATATAGTGTACATTCCAGCTGCAAGCACTGTCAATCACGGGTTTTCGCTGTATCTGAAAAAATCCACTGAACATAGTCCACTTTTCAATGCATTATATATACACTACACTCCCTCGTATCCACATGCACAACAATCGTAGAAATGGGATTCAACCTTCTCAATTTCACTCTCATCTTTCTCTTCTTCTTTTTCCACATCACTTCAGCCGCCGTAGCCTCCGCCGGAGCTGGTGGAGGAAGAAAGCTTCTTTCTTTCGGGATGAGTTCTGACGGGGAACCTCCAGATGCAGGAACTCCTGAAGGAGGTGCTGGGTCGGGTCATCATCCGTACTGGGATTACAGCTGGGGTTGGGGCTCCACTCCTGGAAGCGGGTGGGGCTACGGATCCGGGTCTGGGAGTTCCCCAGATGGTTCAGGCGGAGGGTATGGCTATGGGTTTGGCACGGGCTCTGGGTCTGGGCCTCGAAGCCCGTATGGTTATGGGTTTGGCACGGGCTCTGGGTCTGGGTCTGGCGGGTATGGTTATGGGTCCGGCACAGGCGGCGGTGCTTTTGGTGGTGGAAGCGGTGGCAACGACTGATTCAATGGTCAAAAACAGCCACGGACAATTAAGGGTGTCCCTCTACATGAGTGCCCTCAATGCGTTTGAGGCTACTCTATATATGGATGCGCGTGTGTGTGTGTGTGATGACTACATCTAGCAAGGCGTAATAAGAGATGTGTATGTGTGTATTCTGTATATACTCTTTGGTGTGTGCGCGTGTGTGTGTGATGACTGCATCTAGCAAGGCGTAATAAGATTTTTAGCTGAGATTAGCATATTTGGTGAAAATCTTTGATATTACTGCCTCCTCCGGTTCTAATTATAAGATTTTGTTTATCTCTACAAACAACGTTTTATAATTAGGACCGGAGATAATATTTCCTAATTTTGCTTGCTTTTCTTTTAAGAATGGTTTACGTGTAAATAAAATTTAGCTAAAATATATATTTAGTCTTTTAATTTTATGTAAAATTTCAGTTTGGTTCCTTAATTTTAAAAAGTATACTTTTACTCTTGTAATCCTAAAATTATTAGTTTTAAATGATAATTTTTTTCAACAATCATGGTTGTTTTGAAAATTAAACTTAATATATTAGTGTTTAGTAATGTTTTATCAACATTTAAGAATTCAGTATCATCGTTTTTTATTACCAATTTGAGGATTAGAAGACTATAAATTTATTTTAAAAAAGTAAAATAAAAATATTATGTAAAGTTAAAGAAATAAAAACACCGTAAAATTTGGAGGGAAGACGCCCACCTAAAAATCAGTCCTTAAATGGGTGCACTTATGGTTTCACTTCTCAGCAGATACACGTGCCTCCTGTGACACAACATCAAACCCATCCCAGTTCTTCCAAAGACCAAACTCACCTTGGCAATAAATATTGAGAGAAAGTTTCAAGGAAACAATATAATTATAAAAAACTTTTAATAACTAGCAGCATAATTTTTATACCGTAACTTGTCATTCATTTATTATGAAACTTTTCAATAATTATATTATTTTTTAAGATTACGTCTAACCCATCAAAATAGGACTCATTTCATAAAGACGTAAAGCTCAAGTCTTACTAAACCAGTAATGGTATATAAAAATCTTGTTAGTAGATAATTTGTAAATACTTATGTAGGTATACCTTGATCTTAAACTCCTCACAAATTTTCAAAATCTAACTCATCAAAAAAAAATTTTTATATGTATATATGCAGAGAGATATGACCTCATTTAGGTCCAGGGATTTTATATTTTACATGTTATTGATAATTCATATAAATAGAGAAATATAATATTAATGTGTGATTCATTTTTCATTTTAAGAAAAACATGTCTCAAAGAGATTAACTAATCAAGTGAGGTTGAATTTGAGGTTACGTAGCTTACAATAGCATGGACCTAAATGAGGAAGAAGGTTCAGACTTGATTTTATTTTGTTTCATATAAAAGTTTATCAGATTCCTTTAATTCCTTCTTTGGTCACGAGGAGCTTCAAATTTAGACTTTTTTGGAAAATCCCTAAAACAAAAAAAAAGTCCGTTAAGGCAACTAACACTTGAAAATGACAAGAAATCACGTAGGTTCTGAACTGAAATTTTAAAAATATTGTGAAATTATCCATATATCTTTATATAACATAAATAACATTAATAGAACTGAAAATGACAAGTGTTGAATTAGCAATGATAAATATTAAATTAGAAATGACGAGTCTCGTAACTTCTTCTTCTTTTTTCATTATTTTAGTTAGTTAATTGATTAACAAGTCATGAATTGTAAATGACAAGTGTTGAATTGATAATAATAAGTAACAAGTCGTGAACTGAAAATGACAAATTATTGAATTAGAAATAACAATTATTGAATTAGAAATTACAAGTATCGTAACTTTTTTTTATTCTCCATTATTTTAGTTAGTTAGTTAATTAGCTAGTTGTTAACAAAAAAATAACAAGTGTTGAATTGATAATAATAAGTATTAATCTGAAAATAAAAAAGTTTCATAATATTTTCAAAATGTCAATTTAAGCCTCATTTCCTTTTTTATCATTTTTAAGTGTTAATTGTTTGAATTGAAATTTCATATATTCATTTTTTTTTTACGGGTTTTACCTATTTCATCAGATGATTTAGCTTATCGAAGGTCCCCCAGACGACAATTTTTCGCTTTCGTATAATCAGATAATAAAATGCAGGATTTTTTTTGCCAACAAAACGCAGGATTTAATTCATATACATGGACCGAGTACACCAGCAAAAAAATCTTTCCAGATAGTAATACATAGTCAAATTATCTGATTCTAAATATAAGATTCAATTTGTAACATAAATGACAGCACAAACTAGATTTTATATTTAAAACTAAAAGTAGTAACTCGATTAAACTACAAAACTAAATCTTATATCAAGTACTTCCCCGGTTTTTAATATAAAACCCAATTGTTGAACTGGTTTTGGTTTTAAATATAAGACCTATTTCTCATATTTATTAATTTTTTCTAAATTACCCCTATAGATATATGTCCATAGGGAAAACATGTCAAAACTTGTCACATTTTTTATAATTAACTAACTTATTTAACTACCTTAATCTAATCAAATTAGTTAAATAGATCTTATATTAAGAATCGAAAGAGTATTACTTTACAGGAATGTCGCATTAATATTTGACCACGACTGATAATCTGGAAAAAAATTATTGAAGGGTTAATTTTCATTCAAAACATTGATCCATATAATCTAAAAAAAAAATTTGGACTATTTTGTCATTTGAGGGACCAAAATCTTGGTTTAAAACTTGAGGGACAAATTTAAGAGGCCAAAAGATTATACTAACTTATTATTAAATAAAAAAAGTAAAATCTTTTTAGGTGTTGTCCAAAAAAGAGTTCTTTTAAAAGTATTTCATGAAGAAAACTATGTGAATCATCAGCATGCTCATTACATCATACAGTAATATGGGCAAAGCCATGCATAATTATAGATTATTTCAATTAATTATTTCATATCTTTATCATGGATTGAATATTATATACAATTTTTTTTTTGCCAAAATTATATACAATTCAATTAGCATAAAATTTAACATGATTAATTTGAATATTTTGTTACCCGCATCAAATGCCTCTGGAATCAAATGGAAATAGAAAACCCATTCCTCAATAACCGTTCTCATACTCCATTTACTTTGAACCAAAATACAACTAGAAATGATTCAAGATAAATCACAATTGACGTAAGGAGTTCATTCCTCATCACCCTGTCCAATTAATGTTACATTTATTTTATTGTTCATATAAAATCATAACGAGTATAAATGAAAGTGGTGACAGGGAAGAGAGAGAGAGAGAGAGAGAGAGAGAGAGATGATTGAACAACACTCTTGCCTGCTAGGTCTCCAGTAGAGCAAGAGGCATATGTTGTCCATTCAAGCAAATCATTATGGCTGATAAGCCTCAGGAAGACGAAGACCCACACTATAAGCAGATTTTCCAATGACCCTTCTCATTTCATCACTCCTGTCCACAGCAATATTGTAAGAGAACAAGAGATCCTGCAAAACCACCAACCAATGGTTAGAATCCGAAGATAAAAATGTGAATAAGTTTCTCTGAAAAAATTACAATTATTACTAAGCAAATAAAATCCCTTGGAAAATATTAACAAATATGTAAAAAATCTGACTATACTAAACCATCAAAGAGAATTAAAGACAACAACATTTTGGTTTCTTACCTCCATTACAGCAAATAAGGATGGGGCCATCTAACTGGTTAAGTTTTAAACAAATAAGTCTTAAGTTTCATTTAAACAAGCTCAACTGTTCAAACATCTAATTGCATGCCTGTGTGGAAAAGTTTAAAGAAAAAAGCAACAGAAAGAGAGTGAGTAATGCCTTGTGATGGTGCACACTATTAAGCAGGAAAGTATAGTCCCGAGCAAGCTTGATTTTCTGTTGGACAGCCGCACCATCAGAAAGACAGCTGTTTCTGCGAAACTCAGATGTTATGAATTCCCGGACATGCCTCCTGTTGTCTTCCTTGCCAATGTGTTTCTGGACAGCCTTCAGAAGCTGGCGATAAATCTTGGCTGTTTGGAAGGATGCTTCTGAACCCATTTGCCTTTATATCAATATTCACTATCTACTTCCTGCATTGTAGGCCACATTCAAACTACCAAAAATTTTCTAATAAACCAGAAAAACTAATGAGAATTTGTGCCAACAAACCGCATTTCTCTATCACAATGGGCATGAAGTACCAATTCTTGCTAGCATAAAATAGATGTCATAAATGGCATTTACTGACTGTTCCAGTTAGCTTGGATGAGGGAACTCATTTCAAATTGTACCAGACAAATTAACAAGATTTGTAAAAGACTTTCTGCTGGCAAGAATTAGTTGGAGCGTAATTGTTATGCCATCTAGGATGTTTTACAGATTGGTTGCGGTCATAAACGGCAGGTAACTAATATTGTCGAATCTAAAGTTTTGTAGATGCAGATAAAGCTGAGGTTCTTCACATTTGCATGTGCATATGAAAATAAATAAAGAGAAGAAAAACATAAAGGGCATGATAAGAACGAGAAGCGCAAGATAAAAACGTATAATAAGTAGCCAAGTAAACAATGCTAAAGAAAAGAAATAAGCTCTTCGTGAAATCATTTCTAACCACACAACAGGATGGGAAGCAAAAACCAGACTATACCTGACTGGCTTCTGCATCACAAAAGTACAAAAACCGATTAGGATGAACTTAGATTTTGATTTATGATCTCTGGTGAATACTCAATTGGCTTTCACTTTTTCTTTTACAATAAATCCTATTGGGGAAAAATGGTGAATCTCCCTCGTGCCTTTTGTACTCGCAAATAGACACCATGAATATCTCTAACCTCTAATTAGTAAGAAATTTAACCCTTCATCAGTTGAAAACTAGCATAAGAACGCTAGAAGCATCAAAGACATATAAAATATACCAGAAGTACCCAAGAGTTCAAGCAGAAAACCATTTTTCCCCAAGTGAAACCAGTAAACACCCACATTACTCTACTGGAAGAAAAAGTGGTCACGAGCTCATCTGGACCTAGAAACGATTTTCGATTTAACCAGAAGCGGTCGCAAGCACAATCAGTAATGTCTTCCATATCTACAAAAATAAGTTGTTTGGCATAATCAAAGCCCATTGCGCGTATGCTATTCGACCATCTTCCTTCTATGTTAGTTCTTGTTGTTCAAATAGAGTCATTTTATATTCCTCCATATTAGTTCTTCCTTCTGTAGATTCTGGCAGAAGACTTCGTTCAAAGGGAAAGACATGCCTACGAATATACATATGGGACCTACAATAACATATGGAAGAGAAAGTGATTACCTGTTTCTTCTTAGCAGAGCGGAGCCGAGGGTCGAAGAAGGAGATCCCCACACCGACGGAGGAGAAACAAGGCGATGCTAAAGCCAAGGATTACGATGACGACGGGAGGTTGCCGGCGAAGGCATTGCAACTATTGAGCATGAAGGTCCATGAGATATTGGAGTCCTAGGGATTTTTTTTTTTAACATTTTTGTTGCCCCATTTTTTATTTGGCCTGATGCCCCTTTTTTTTTTAATTCTTTTTTGCCGTCATATTTTTTTTTTGGGAGAATTATTAAGAGATTTGAAGGAAGAAATTTAATTATCAAAAAGTCTTAAGTGACTAATTTGAACATGTTGTCATTATCTATTCTAAAACTTATTATTGCTTACTTTTCACTTGTCAATAAATTTTGAACCAATTAAATTTCTTTTTTAAGACATGATTGTAATTCTATCTATTTTTTTAACATTCTAGTTCTATGTGCTTAACTTTTCATTACTAGCTGACCCATTTAATTTAGGAGAACATCCCTTTAGAAAGATGTTTAAATAAAGAAAATTCTTATTTAAGTCATTAAATATGCCAAAATCTTAATTAGATCATATGACTTGAAGAAAGATTTTAAAATTTTATTAAATGATTCTACTGCTCATTTCATTAGAAATGAATAACAAAAAGAATTTTAAATTAACATGTTTTACCTCGCAATTAACACGTTTCATTTTTAAATTAATAATTTTTTTGTCTTTGAATAAAATTTGATTACAATCCAACCTTAAAAATTAATAAGTTCAATTATCCAAGTAACAACTTTTAATTCAAAACTAAGGGCTTTATATCTCCAAAAGACAATTACTATAAGTCTTTGAATAAAATTTAGTCACAATATAACTTTAAAAATTAACATTTTTTATTTCACAATTAACACATTTTAATTTTAAATTTATAACTTTTTGTTTCCACAACACACTTGTAATAAATCTTTGAATAAAATTTGATCATAGTATAACATTAAAAATTAACATGTTCCATTTTACAATTAAACATGTTTCAATTGTAAATTAACAATTTTTTGTTTATATAATGCACTTGTAATAATTTTTTTTAATAAAAATTTATAACAATATAATCTTAAAAATTAACATGTTTCAATTCGCAGTTAACACATTTTAATTTTACAACAACTTTCAGGGAAAATATCATAATTAAAGAAGGAATATTTAATATAAAAACTAACTTACCGTTCCCTCCTTGATCAATTTCTTAACTTTGTAACGGTAGATGTGAAATTCCCTTTGTTCAAAATTCTAATAACAGAGATATTAGAGTTATTTTATAAAATTTTAATATCCCTCTCTAGGTCATGTGACTTGATTAGGACATTAGAATCATTTCATGAAATTTTAAGAAATTTGGTTAATAAATTCTGTTGTATTGACATCTATTATGAACAAGCTTATTCTACATAACCCGTAATTTAAGAGGGGGGAAAAAATTAAACGTTAGGGAGAATCTTGTTTTAAGCTTTTAGTGCATTTTTACAAGCCTTCTTTAATTAATTATCTCATACAAGATAAGTCATTTTTTCAAATTATTCGGGTTAAGTTTGAGTACTTCTGAAATAAACACATCAATTAATTACTCTTAATAGTAATAATCAATTAAAAAAAAAATAGAACACAGAACCTTCTAAAAGATGAAAGAAGAGAGTATTAGACATCTTTTCCCTCATCACCTACCCTAACATGGCCCATAATCTACTTGTCACACCTGCTTGTGCTGAGGCTTCAGCTCATATTTTCTTACATCATGGAAAATAATGAATTTGGGGAAAGTTGTAGGCGCAGAGGTGATAAACCGAATCCCACAGAAGAAATTCAAAATAGGTGTTTGGTTACTTCATGTAAATTAACAAGAAATTCAGTACAAAACTATTGTCCACATTTACTTCCTTACCCTTTAGAACTATCAGAACTCGGCTCCGGAATTTCATTCCGTGTTTAAGACCTTTGGAACTTTGATGTAAGGCTCCTCGTAGCTTGGAATGGAAGCAACCATGGTGCCCCTATCAAGCATATATTACCCTGTTCGTACCTTTAGTTTCCCTTTAGTACAAGAAATTAACAAGAAATTCAGTACAAAACTATTGTCCACATTTACTTCCTTACCCTTTAGAACTATCAGAACTCAGCTCCGGAATTTCATTCCGTGTTTAAGACCTTTGGAACTTGATGTAAGGCTCCTCGTAGCTTGGAATGGAAGCAACCATGGTGCCCCTATCAAGCATATATTACCCTGTTCGTACCTTTAGTTTCCCAATAATGTTTAATAGAAAAATGAGCAACCCACTTACCTGTCGTCGAAAGTCTCGGGAACATCATCACGGACATTGTTGTTTTCAGTATCTGCAGATGATATGACAGATAAATTCCCATTTGAAGCAAGAAGCATAACATTTGCCGTTATGACTATATTTCTTCCCACCCCCCCCCTGTCGTCTCCTATTTTTTAATCTTCTTATGAAACAGTAAAGGGAAAAGACAAGAACCCCAACATGTTAATATTCATCTTACAGTGATCAAACAAAAAGGACTCGATCAAGATGAAAGTTAGGAAAGCAATCAGGAAAAAGATGATGGTATGATTCATTTGCCAATGAGTGGTGTACAAGACAGCAACAATACACTATTTCTCCAAGTCTGGCAGGGACAAAGCAATAGAACTGCAAAGTTTAGAGTACTACAAAAAAGGGTTTTTGCAAATAAGGGGAAAAACCCGTAAGCTGATGCAATAGAGCTATTCTCTAATTTATGAAGAATTTTCAATTCGTTTTGCAACCAAGATGTAAGCAGACAGAATAACTACTAGCTGGACTTGGATGACATTATCGTTAGCTGATGTAAATCGAAAAGGTCATAGAGAACCTGCTCTAATGGAGGGTTCAATGCTTTCGAGATCAACACCTTGAAGCTGTCCAAACCTGTCACAATTGCCAATTTAAGTTTGAAGGTTGGATAGGTGCTATCATACAATAATCCCAAAGGTAGGAAAGCTATTGAAACCAATTGATTGATCATTGAAGTTTTCATTATGAAAAAAAGTAATCAAGTCATACAATGCTATTGAAGGAGCCACATGAAAGGAGAAAAACAAAACATTTTGATGATTCCACAAACAGTGAACAATTAAATGTTAACGCACGAACAGAAGTCCGTTACTTTTTTGCAACGTTCATTATGCTGTCAACGTAGAGTTTGAAATTTAGGAGTCTTTTTAAGGAGCTGGGGTCGAGAAAACAGGATTTTACCAATCTATCACCTGTTGAATTTTAGGAGCAAATTCTTCCACCTGCAAATAAAATAAAAGGAATAATGTAAAGGCAAAATAAATAACAAAAGAAAAAAGAATTAGACAAACTACTCAGCTTCCTTACAATAAATTATCATGCCATATCGTGTTAAAATCACCTCATTTGATGCAAGAGCAATTCGAGCTGTTTCTGCCAAACGAGTGACATCTGGAGGTGGAAGAGAGGACTGAATTTTTGTTGATGAGCAGCTTCGAACTCTATCGTGATGAACAATAACTTTTGGGAAACCAAAGTAGTTGAAACTTCTCCTGGAGTGGGTAAGGAAGCTATTACCCATTGCTGATGAGTATGACACTCCTTTGAGCAAAAAGACTCTGCTTCCCATCTGTTTCAATTTTGCATTAATTCTGGCTATCAGACAATGGGTCTCTGCTTCTTCTTGGCCTTTAAATATGTAGAAGTTATATTCCTTTCACTTACGAAAGAAGAAAATTTATAAAGGAGGGCATAAGAGTTTTGACCTTCACCGGAAAAGAAAAGAGGTAAAACCTGAAGTGTTTCACCTACAAAATGATTTTTGAGAATAATACTACATCCGGTCCATAGTATGAGAGTTAAATAACTTTGAGAAAATTAAGAAAATTAGTTAAATTGGTTATTTGTAATAAATATACATTAAAGCTTCCCTAAATTACCCTCTTTAATCATATGCATTGGAATTACACCTTAGAAATATCTTAAAATCAATAGGGATATTTTAAGAAAAATGTGAAATGAAATGAATTGAGATATTATACTTAGGATCAAATCCAATCCCCCAACTAGCTCCCATATTAAGGATCAGAGCTAGTCCTTATAACTATCAAGAGAAATGATTTATCATGCACCTGATAACTATCAAGAAAATGAGATTGAGAAGTGAAACAATCCATCCTATACGTTTGTGTGGGTGTGAGCGTAACATATAAAAAAGAAGAAGAAGAAGACAAAAATAAGACATAAAGTAATTGCATTCAAAGTAAACAGAATATAAAATTAAGGACTATTACCATCCTGTCTATAAACTTAAAGAAACCATGACGATCCGATGGTTTAACATCAACCACACATCAAATCTAAGGAATAAGAATTCCTTTCATATTATCTAACCTAAAACATCCACTTCCTCTTTTCAGCAATTAAATCTCATGATTCCTCGTTCAAAGACACTTATTCTCATCAACAAGATTCAACAGTTTCCCAACAGAAGTTACGCTCAACATTTACATGCAACCATGGAACACCTCAAAACAATCCAATTTATTCAAGTAATTTGACTCTTAAATAATAATTCTAAGGAAGCTTCAAAGCCACATCTCTTATTCTCATAAACTCCTATGAAGGTTGAGCGTATCATAAAGTCTAGTCAAGGTTGCATCTAACAATCCATGGTAGCTAGTTACCGACTTTTAAGCATGACTCTTTTCTTTTTCAAGCATTTTATCAAACACTTAAATTGCATCTAGTTATCATAGTCGAACTGTCAAACTAGCATTTAAATTTCTTCCCCAAACAACACCCAAGTATGAATCAAATTCTTCAACACCTTTAGAAAAGGACAAATTAGCCAATCAGCAGAACTTCTCCATTCTTAGCTCCCATTAACAGTTTAGGAAAACAAAGCATTCCTCCTGCAGACATGTCACCGGTTTACACGACACAATTCCTGCTCTAAGTATTCAGACCATTCTGATTCAAACTATAGTTTTCATGAAAGCCATGACACTCACTACAATCCAACAGGCACAACATTCAGTTCAATGTCAATCGTTCCAGAAGACCATGTCCTCATGAGAGCAGTATGTTGAGAGAGAGAGAGAGAGAGAGAGAGAATGAAACAAATGTTTCTTGCACATGAATTTGAACTCAACCTGTCGCAGACCCTAGACGTCGCTTCGCTGATTCAACTCGGCCTCTCGAGTTTCAACCACGGGTTTCGTCCCCTCGGGTAATACCTTCTTCCTCTTCCGCCTCGACTTGAACGGGAATGGTCCTTTGATCAATCCGATAAGAGGTCTCAACGTAAAATCTGAACTTGCATCTGCTAATGGTGCTCCTCACTCGTTAAACAAAACGGCGTCGTATCCATTGGCTGTAATTCATCCTCCGCCACCCATTATGGTCGAGGGGTAAAGAAGCTTCCGTGGGAAATCACGGGTGACTGGGAAAGACAATTCAGGTAATGATTTCAATGGGTTTGATAACTTTTCAAGTGTACAAATGATATTGGGAAAAAAAAAAAAACCAATTGTACTGAGGTAAATAAACATACTACCTAGGGGTGTTTATGGGCAGGACACGCCCCCTTGCCCGATACACAGCCTGAAAAATGAGCGGGATGCATTTTGTGACCTACTGTCCTACTCTGTTCATAGAAGCCCTAACCATTTTCAGGCTAGACAATAACGGGCTGGGCAGGGCCGGTTTCTAAGCCCACATAGTGATACCTTGGTGAAAATTTTTTTAAAGTAAAGGTATCTTATAACAACTATAAAGAAATAAATACTTGAATAAACAATAAATTCAACAAATCAATAACTTTGATTTCTTAAATTGATATATCTTTTAATATAACACTAAAGTGAGCTTGCTTTTGCATCTTTGCAAGACAACCAACAATAAAAACAAACTAAAGATACTAAACCAAATTAAAAAGATACTAAGAAGGAAGAATTACGCATACCATTAAGGGCCTGTTTGGTTTGAGGGGAGGGGAGGGGGGGAGGGGAGGGGAGGGGAGGTTTCATCCTCACCTTGTTTGGTTTGATTAAAAAGGAGAGGAGGGGAGGGTATTTAATGATCTCTTGTTTGGTTCAAGGAGGGGAGGGAGGGATAGTAATAATCAATTTACCATTTACCCTTACATATGTTTATGTTTTTTATTGATATATTATATAAATTAATTTATATCTTAATTTAAATCATATAATTTAATAAAAATTCAGTCTTATCATGTTAATATGTGTATTAAAAATTGGTACTAATTTTTTATTCTAATTAATATAATAATATATTTAAAATAATCAAATTAACAATTTTATATGCTCTAAGAAAAATGAAATTTTTTTTCTTTAAGCTATCTTTTTTTCCAGCTTTAAAATATATTTAATAAATAATATATTTATAAAAACAATTAATTTTATAATATTATAATTTTTTATTTATAAATATTTTTATAATATATTTTTAATTATAATAATGTATATATTTTTTATTTTTTTTACTTAGGATAATATATTTTTTATTTGAAATAAATATTATAATATATTTTATGGGTAGAAGTGAATATTAAAAAATAAAGGGCATAATGGTCTAAAATTTTGGCTCCCCTCCAAAAAACCCCCAATTTGGAGGGGAGCCAAAATGGGGGGAGGGAGGGGAGGGACATTTTAGCTCCCCTCCCCTCCAATTTTCAACCAAATGAGAGGAGGGGCTCCCCTCCCCTCCCCTCCCCTCCCCTCCCCTCCAACCAAACACACCCTTAATGTATCTATGGCAAATGGAAGAGGGGAGAAAATATATATCATTATATATCATTATAAGTATTTCTCACAAAAAAAAGAATTATAAATATATATATATATATATCACGTGTAGAGCCAAATGGGCAGGGCAGCATACCGTGCCCGCAGCCCAGCCCTGCCCATAATATGCCCAATCCAAAAATACCCATTTTTCTTTGGGTTGTTTTTTTTCCGGGCTGGGCAGGGCCATTTTCTCACGGGCTCAGGCGGACATACCGGGCTATTGGGCTTGATGAACACCCCTAATATTACCTCTAAGTCTCATTAGAAGAGTTAATCGATTAATTTAAGAAAACTAAAAAAATAAATTAAATTAGTTATTTATAATAAATATATATTGTTTTTATTAAAATATCTTTGTTAATCAAGTGTATTTGTTAAAACTACCATTATTAGAAGGACTATTTTTAGAAAAAAAATAAATAAATATGATAGACAAGATGGGTTAGAGTCTTATATTTAGAATCAAAATAAAAATCAAATAAGATCTTATATTAAGAACCGGAGGTAGTATATATTTTAGCTTTCGTATATATTCTTTCGGTTTTGTCAAAAAGATTGCGTATTTGTCCCTATTTGGTTGATAATTGGAGGCTCTGAACTTGATCCGAAGTCACCCCAAATCGTGCTCGACGAATTACTCTTCTTTCCCCTCTTTTCCTCTTAGAAATGCTAAGTTCTGACTCAAACAGTGCTAGAGGACTCCACCTGAGAAAGTGTTGCAGCACTACTTGAATGGAAAAAATTGACAAAGTTAAACTCTTGACAAGGTTCTCAGGCAAAAAAGAAAAAACTCTTGACAAGGTTCTGCTCCATTGAGAGAACAGGGCCTATCTGAGTATTGGAGGAACATAAAGCAAGAGACCCCTTCACTGAAGCACTTGTACCTGAGTGAAAACAGGTGTCATAAAGTAGAGGAAGTACACGGGAGCTTTTCAACTTTAGAGTATCACCAACATTCTAAAACAAGTCTTAATTAATTGAGGTGTTTTAGTGTTAACAGGCTTGGCTTAGTTCGATTTTGGGGAAAAAATTAACTGCTTAGTTCTTGAGTGGCTTTATTTAGTTTAGTTTCTGTTTGGATCAAGCATGAATGATTTTTTTTAAAAAAAAAAAAAATTTAGTGATTTTTTTTTTTCCAAAAACTATGTTGCGTGTGTATTATATAACAAGTATAACTTCTATATAAATCTAGACCCAAGCCAATAAGTTAATATAAATATGTACGTGAGAACCAATACAGTGAACAAATAAGTTAAATCCTGTCCTCGTCGATTTAAATTAGAAGTATAAGCCAATACACTAAACAAAGAACTTATTAAGCTCACCCTATAGCTTTACAAAAAAAGGGTGAGGTCTACACGGCTATTCAATAAAGCTGCGCACCCAATTCGTCATCTCGTCTTTAGGAACTAGTGAGAATGCAACAGCTAGTGATGGTGACTCGGTAATCTTCACATAAACCTTGTTAATCTCACCCCATGGGAGACCTTGTAATCTCATAAGTTGCTTATATATTTCTTCTATTCTATCCAAGTGAATATGACCAAATCTTCTTGACTCCTTCCTCATTTCTACAAATTCCCTACATGAATTCTCAACAAACTTCATCATTGACTTGTCCATATTAGAAGATGATTCCTTCAATGTTTCAACAAGCACATCTACAATAGAGGCTACTCCTCCATTTCCGTTTTGTAGACAAATGGGCATCAATTGATTGCAAAGGTTGTTGCTCAGACAAAATCATTATATGTGTTGAGTCCTCGTTCAGCATTGATCTCAACCTCAATTCTAGATTATTCGCTACCCTCAACAAGAGATGTAGGCATTTCAGCATCAAATTCCATCACAATAAGGTCATCCATTGTCTCACATAATGAGATTATGCAATAGATAGCAAGCAACTAGATATCGTTTGAGTTCAAATGGTGTAATATGATGGGCTTCTCAATATTGCCCAAAGCATCTTCAAAATCCTAAATGCCCTTTCAATGACATTCTAGCATGGACATTTCACATGTTAAAACAGTGATTTGGGTTCCATCGCCATACTCATTTAGGTAATATCATTGTCCACTCACCCATGCCAAGTTAGTTTAAGACCACCTGTAGCCTCTAGGATGCTACAAAGCCAGAAAAATGTGGTTTTACACATCCCAGTTTGGTTAAAACATGTTATATCACTACCATACACCATCTCCGTAAGCTGACTTTTGTTTTTATGGAAATCTGGTGTGATACTGGTCATGAACGTGTCTAGTGCTATATATAGCCACACTAAATATCATCTCAAGAAAAAAAATTTCGAGCAACATACAAAGCAGCCCAACAATGTATGAAGGATGATTTTTTTATTTGTCTTCAGCAATAATTAATTGTACCCAACCAAAACAAGGTTATAGCACCCACTACGTATCCACATCAACAAGCAAGTAGAAAACAAAAATAAGCAAACAATGTTGTGAGATCAGCAACAAATCACTATAGTACTTTGCATAACCAAAAAAAAAAAAAAGAATGAACAAATTCCTTTAGAATTTATCATACCAATATTGATTGCGGAAATCTTACATGACAATGTAAACTCCAAAAGCCTCAATAGAATTTAAACTAAATCCTGAACGAAAATCTTAAGCAAGAGCTCAACAATCTACTTGCTGGATTCCTTTTTCTACAAAAAAATAAAGGCAGGAACCTACTAGCATTAGCAATAGGAGTGATGCTATGAAGTCTCGTTTGGGCTTGGGTACTCTGTAATTAGGTTTGGAATTTGTGATTGGAGAATTGGAAGAAGAAGAAGACGACGAAGATGAAACCAGGAGGTGAAGTAAGAAAGTAGGAGGAAGAGAAGGAAATGAAGAGGGAGACAGAGTGCGAGTATGGAATCGACACACAAAGAAACGATGAGGAAAGAGCAAAACAGAAGCAAAGAACAACTTACCTCACCAGTTACAGATTTTTAGGCGGGAGGATGATTAAGCCGTGATGACCTCTATTGCCGGCGATAGTAGCAACTAAGGGTATGTTTGGATCTCCGTTTTGAGATCTAAACATGCCTCGGAAAATGTAATAAGTCAGTTGGGGGCTTTCTAAAGGTAAATTGGTTGTTTGGATAGATAGCTTTTGAATCTGACTTCTGAAAAAAAGCAACTTATTTTTTAGCGCTCTGGGAAGTAGCTTTTCATTGTTTCAAAATGTAATATACCTTTAAATAAGCATTTAATGACTATTAATTTCTCTCACCTATCATTTCTACCAGACCGAGCTCAAGCCTCTCTTCAAATCAAAACAAAGAACTCGTGCTACTGCATTTGGCCGTGTTCACCTCCCTCACTCTCGACACTCTCTCCATTCGTTGCTCTTGCTAGTGTCTTTGTCCATCGGTCTCGGCTGTGTCTTCATCTGTCGCTCTCTCTGGCATCTCTGTCTGTGGGTGTCGCCGACTCTTCTCCCTCCATCAAAATAGATCTAGGTCATTGTTCATGCCATCGCCGGTGTGTTTGTGCAAAGAATAGCCACTATTTTCCTCCGCCGTTGAAGGTACCGTGGTTGTTTTTCTTCTCTTCCCTATTTGACTTTCAGATCCTCTATTATCCTTGTCAATGGTCATAGTGGCTGAAGGAGGCTTGCTTTTTTTCTTCCTCCTCTAATTGTAGATGTTGTTTGACTGAAAAATATAATTTATTTAGAGTTTTCGATGATTCACCGAACTAATCTACCACCTTCAATGTATGTGCACTTCCTTAAGAAATCAAAACCTCTCTGTTACTCCTTCTTTGTGCTTTTATAGGAGTTTTGGACCTATTTGTGTGGTCCGTTCTAGTAACAGCATTCCCACTTTCATATAGCGCTGCTGTGAGGGGTAAGCTGAACATTTCTTCCTTGTGTGCATATATGTGGATGTGAACTGAATGGCTGTAATTAATAGTGTATGGTGTTGGTTTATGGTGCAAGATTTATGGACGTGTGAATGCTCTTTTGACCAAAGCATATGATAGTTTGGCTTTAATTTTGTTAGATATTATGCTTTAATGCTTGGTTGGATTTTTTGAGTTAAAGGAAAAAAGTATTTTCGGTGCTATGGGTTCATGTATCATGATTGAGAATGGGTGGCTGTAATTGTGTGCGATGTTTTGAACTTTGGGGGGAAAATGTATAGAGATGGTAATCAAGGATATGTGGATATATTTAGCTTGTACCTGGTTCAATGACCAAACAATGGGAAACTTTTATTGATTTAAGAATCTATAATTTCAGCTTACCCAATATTGATTGCTGTCTCTATCTTATCACTGGTCAAAACCCATAGCTTAATTCGAGCTTGGTTTAAGCTTTTGATTAAGTTGAAAATTCTAATATTAAGGTTAGCTGGCTTATGAAAAGGAGAAAAAAAAATAGAAAGGCAGAGTTTGGCATTCAATTGGGCAGTGATTAAAATCGCATTTGTCCAAAGATGTCATCTTGGTCATATTATTTTAACTGACAAATGTTGTGTGTAGTGTCCATATTAGCTGGTCGGATTGGCAAGTATTACTTCTCAAACCAAAGTTTTAAATTGTAAGATTGAGAGGCCACTTTGAATTCAGATACAACCACATTTTTGCTGTAGTAGCAGCGGGAACCTTGTTCCTAAATCCAAACATCGATAAGTTCCTATTTTTCTGCATGTTTGTAACGTAAAGCAGAGCTTGAATTAATTCACTATTGGTGATTTGATTTACATATATTGTGGGTTTATACTGCTTGATTATATTGCTTGATTCTTGACTAATTGTGGGTTTGATATATATGTAATTTCAACAAGAACTATGAGTAACGATAAAGGCAAAGCACATTGGGATGTTGTTAGTGGCAGTCTCACCCAAGAGGGGGGTGAATTGGGTAAGTTATAAAAATTTTACAAATTAAAAACAGTAAGCTAAACAGAAATAGAGAGCATAAGTTAGAGCGATTTCACTGTAGAGAGTAGACACAGAATTTATACTGGTTCGGTCTCAACCACTTGACCTACGTCCAGTCTTCAGAATACCTCTAAGTATTTCACTAAGTTCCAAGATTAATCGGACTTTTGATACCGCAGTACACCGATTGATTCATTCAATTACTCCCCCTTACTACCCGTAAGGTTATAGACCCACTCAAGAGTCCACACTCTTGAGTTTCACTTAGAAAGTGATTAAAGATGATATGTAAAGCTCTCTTACAGAGTAAATGGATAAGAAACACTGAAGCCCAGTACAAACAAGAACAAAGTATTGAATGCAACAGTAAGTTATTTTCAGAAGGTAGCTCACGTATTCAATTGTCTGCATTCAATGCTTCTTCGCGCCTTTTATAGTTGAGGAAGTTTAATAGCCATTAGACGGAAGAGCTTCTAGCTATTGAGAGTTTGGTTGTGTGTTTTTCCAGTTACAACGGTTTTCGCCATTAATGCTTCTTACATGGTAGGTTACAGGCTACTAAATAACTGTTAGATAACCGTTGAGTTCTTCTTCGTAATCTGTAATAATACTTCAATCTAATAAGTTTTTCTTGCAGAATAAAGCTCAGGAGCATAACTGATCAAATGATAATAATGAACATTTATAGTTTGAAAGTGGAATCAATCAGTTGCTGAATGTATTGAACAAGAACTGGACATCCTTAATCGAAGTAATGATCGATGACTGGTTGATCAATCAAATTATTGATTAATCAAATAGAAAGAATTTGAAACAGGCAAGTTAATTTATCGATCAAGTAATCGATAAATGAAAATAGTAACTTCAGAAAAAACATGTAGAGAAAAGGCTCAAGGTTATTTTTTTATTTTAAATCCCTTAAAATAGAGAATTAAGATAAACATGAAGGTTGAGAAAAGCTTGAAGGGAAATAATCAACATATTTTGAGAATCACGGTAACTTGTTGATGTTTAACTGGAAAGAGTCAATGATCGATCAAGTGATAAAAAACTGCTTGATCGATCAAGCTATCGATAAAGCAAAGTGAGATAGAAATAGATTTTCAAGGAATAATGATCGAGTAATTTATCAATAAATGAATGATGGAAAATTTGATCGATAAAAGAGACTTAACAAAAAGTTTTTCAAAGGGCACAAAACAAATGATGATCGATTAATGTTTGATCGAGTAAGTGATTGATAAAATATAACAAAGAGACTTAGTTCTGAAATTCCAGAAAAATGTTTGATCGATCACATTATGTGAAAACAAGACATTCAGAAATATGGGTGATCGATCATTTCATCGATAATTAGATTATCAATCAGGTGATTGAAAAACATAACCCAAAAAAGTAGAGACATTGAGATAGCAATGATCGATTATTTGATCAATAAATCACTGATCGATCAAGTGATTGATTAATCAACCAGATAACAACCTTGAATAGAGACATATCGAGTGGGTTATTAAACAATGTTCAATCAGGTTATCAAAAAATCTCTGATCGATAAAGTGATCGATAAATGAAGAAAGAAACAATATAACTTAAGTGGAAGAGCTTTATCATTTATCTGTCTTTTCATTGATGACCTATTTATCAATTAAGTGATTGATAAACACTTACCAAAACTTGTGTCCATTATCTGACAGTTGTTCGATCATTAGATTATCGATCAATTGATTGATAATTTTCAAGACTTCTACACAAAACAGTGTTAATGATGATTGATCAATTGATCGATCAACACATATAAACTAATTTATCTATCAAGTTATCAATTAACATTTCTGCTAAGTTACTCGTTTACAAAGGGAATTTATTGACAAGTGATCGATAACCCCTTGATCGATCAAGTGATCGATCAACTTACCAAAACATTGATTACCCAATTTATTATCATCAAAACCTTAAATCTAACAAATGTGAGCACCATAGGTGTGTTTCTCAAAATAAGTGTTGACTAGATTTATAGCAAACTTCATCAAGGATCTTCATTTACAAAACAAGGTTGGGACAACATTCACAGAGAATTCAATGAAAAGACAGGGAGAGGATATGAAAAAAAACAGCTGAAAAATAGGTTAGATAACTTGAGGAAAGAGTGGAAGACATTTGATAAACTAATTGCTAAGGAGACCGGTATAGGGTGGGACCCTGAAAGGAACATAGTGGTGGCATCTGATGAGTGTTGGGGGAGGAAATTACGGGTATGAAGTAGCTTATGTTAATTTATAAGTAGTATTATGCTTTTGGAATCGATTTAACTCTGGTTTACTTTTGACTTTGCAGGAAAATCTAGCATATGAAAAGTTTAGGCACTATGGGTTAAGGTTTCGCACTAAATTGGAAATTATATTTAAGGACACTATAGCATCAGGAGATGATATGTGGGCACCATCTTGGACCAAGCCTGCACCACAGAGGGGTGATCAGCCAAATGACTCCAACCAATAATGGATTAGCAAGAAGGTTTAGGGGATAGGCAAGAAGGTTCAGGGGATAGTGAAGACGACACTGGACACTGTGCAGGAGTTTCAGACTATTTGGACGGCATCAATTTAACTGCAAACACATCAAACACTGCACCCACTGTACCTAGTACTTCAGGGAGTCAAGGGAAGAGGAAGAGAGGTGAAGGGTTGGACAAGTACAAGAAGAAAAAAATGCCAACGACAAGAAGAATAGCAGATGCAGTAAGTTTGATTGAGAAGGCTTCAATTAGTACAGCAGAGGCAATAGACAAAATCTCCAACATTGATAACACTACTGAGCTCACCGCTGATCTACTGAGTATGCCTGAAATTGTCAGTGACACTCATCTTTGTGTCATCTGTTATAATCTGCTGGCAAACAAGATGTTCAGGGAGATATATGCTGGTCTGAGAGAAAATCAGGAGGTATTAGTAGCTTGGTTGAAGCACAATGCTGCAAACCTGCCGCCATATATTGCACCGAAGAATCCTTGAGTTGTGCCTAATGACTTATTATGATTTCTGTTTATCTATCTTAATGTATTTGGTTATTGTGTGTCATGATGATGTGTTTAATGATTGTTTGTTTAATGACTTTGTTTAATGTTGTGTGCTTTATAACTACGTTTAATGTTGTGTTTCATGACTATGTATAATTATTATGTTACAGTTTAATGCCTATTTATCACTTATCTTTTCTCTTTTTTTTTTGTGAAAATGTTACTCACATTTAGTATTTAACTACTCACAAGTAACATAATCCATGTCTAATTCAACGGAGGGTTGGGGCGAGGGTTGGGATGACGGACGATCTCAATTACTTCCCGCTTTACATGAACACACAACACAAGTATCACAGCTAAGTGTGTTAATGGGTCAATATGTGACACCTTTTCTATGCAAACTGCCATGCAGAACTAGCGAACAAATAGGTTATTTATGGGTTCAAGAACTTTTGCACGGGCATGAAGGACGGTCTAAGGAAATGTTTCGAATGGAAACAGAGACATTCCATCAGTTATGTTCTAAATTGGTGGAACATGGGTTGCAAAATTCTAAGTACATAGGTGTCCATGAATTTGTTGCCATGTTCTTGAATACAATTGCGCATGGTTAGTGTAATAGGATGATTCAATAAAGGTTTCAGTGTTCAGGAGAAACTGTCAATTGGCATTTTCATAGAGTGTTGGATGCTTGCCTCAATTTATTTCGAGAAAATATCAGGCCCACTGATCCTACATTCTCCTGTTGCCATCCAAAAATAGCAAATGATCCCCGATACTTCTCATTTTTTAAGGATGCAATCGGCACAATTGATGGTACCCACATAAAATGTCAGTTCAGGCTAGGCAAGACAAATATATTGGGAGGAAGGGATTTCCGAGTCAAAATGTCATGGCCGTATGTGATTGGGATATGTGCTTCACGTTCATATTGGCAGGCTGGGAAGGTAGTGCACATGATACTCGTGTGTTTCAATATGCTATTTCAACTCCATCCATGAATTTGCCTCATCTACCTGAAGGTATATTTCTGTAAATTTCGAATCAATTATTTTAAAATTAAGCTTCAATTGCATTATTTTCACCTCAACATAATTGAGTCATGATTTTCTAGGCAAATTTATTTGGTTGATGCTGGTTATTCATCACAAGTGGGATACCTTGGCCTGTACAGACGTGAGTGCTATCACCTTTCAGACTTTAATCGTCAGCCAGGATTTAGAAATGAGAATTAGGCCTTCAATTATTATCATTCAAATTTGAGATGCACTATTGAAAGAACTTTTGGGGTTTGAAAGAATAGGTTTGCCGTCTTAAGAGACATGCCCAGATTCAAGTTTCAAGCATAGGTCCGCATAGTTTGTGCAACAATAGCTGTCCATAATTTTATTAGGCAAAATTCTCCAACTGATGACCGCTTTATAGAAGCTGAGCATGGAAGTATAATAGATGAAGACAATAATCATCCAACTGGTGAGGCATCATCGTCAAGTTTAACATCTATCGTACAAATGAATCGTGTTCGTGACTCAATTAGAGACCAAATTGTGCAAAGCTTACAATCTAATTAGTTATGTGATTTTATTTACTTTAATTAGAGACCAAATGAATTTTAATTTAATTTATGTTCATGTTTGTCCATTATACATATTCAATTAAGTACGATCTAATTACTTATGTAATTTCATTTACTCTAATTAGATACGAAATGAATTTTAATTTATGTTCATGTTTGTCCATTATACATATTCAATTAAGTACGATCTAATTACTTATGTAATTTCATTTACTCTAATTAGATACGAAATGAATTTTAATTTATGTTTATGTTTGTCTATTACATATATTTAATTAATTATCTACAATATGTTTTTAAATTTTTCTCAGTAACAAATATTTTTATTTTATAATCTCACAAATAAACTATTTTTATTTTATCATAATTTTAGATATTTTTTAACAATTATCACATTAAAAATATCAAACACTACTATTCAATAAAGTATATATCATTTTCAGTCATTTTACAACTGAACTAATTTTTCTATTCATCCAAACAACTTTTAACTTTTCCAACTAACTTTTTAAAAGCACCTATCCAAACATAGCATAACTGATTTTTACTCTAACTTCAGTTACAAAAGTCAGTTAGACTAGAAGTCAATTTTGTTCAACGCCAATCTAAACATACGTTAAGAAGAGAATCTTGAGGACAATCTTGTCAATCTAAAGAATTATGAGGGTAATAATGACTTTTAACATTAAATCATGAATCGTGTGATCTCAATATATGTGCTTAAACTAACCATAGCAAGATATCAGCTATCCTTATTTTATAGGTAAATTTACATGTGTATGTATACATTTTAACAATTAACACTAGCACAATAAATAATAAGTGTGATTGAACAATTTAACCTAATAAAAATTATTAGCTTATGAGAAGTAATACAAAGGTTCACAAAGATATGAAAAATTTAGGAAAAATTACACTCAGCTCCCACAGAAAATAATTAATTTTAAAAAAGTCCCTAAAAATCCTGAAATGATTCTGAAGTCTCCAGGGACCTGTGTGTAATTGATTATAATTGTGAAATTACTTATTTACCCCCATTAATTTTATTGCAACAATTCATTTACAATCTCAACAGTGGCTGTTGACAATCCGAGAAGAAGTAGTTGACAACCTCGGCAGTGCTCCTGACAACTCACTCTGTGGGATGCCAGGGCACTGCTGAGGTTGTTAACATCTCTCCTCAGGTTGTCAACAGTCACTGTTGAAGTTGTAAATGAATTACATTGGGTTCAAATTAATAGGAGTAAATAGATAATTTCACAATTACAATTAATTATACACACGTCCCTGGGGACTTAGGAGTCATTTCGAGATTTTTAGAGACTTTTTTGAAATTAATTGTCTTCTATGGGACCTAAATGTAATTTTTTCAAAAATTTATCTATGCATATAACAATAGGAAAATAATAACTGTGCATATAAAAATTTATTTAGATTATGAGAAGTAATTAAAAAATTTACAAAGATTCATATATAAATTTACACACACATATACATTTTTGTAAAAATAATAAAATAATAAGTGTGATTGAAACATTTAACCTAATAAATATAATTTGTCCTTGGTTACAAGTGCACATAAACACATACATATTTTAACAATTAAAAATAACAAGTTTTGTCTTTATTTGAAATAAAATTGTATCAGCGGGGTTAACCGAAAAAATTCTCTCAATGTCAAATCTCCCTCAATAGCTCAAGTTAAATTTTATAAAATTTGTAGCTACTTTTATTGTTACCATCCAAGTGTCATTCTTGAGGGTTTTTTTTTTTTTTTCTCATAGAAATCTCAAAAGTAGAAGAAAAATTCAAACTTAGCACCTGGAAATTGAACTAGGCAAGAGGATGCCACATAAAATTCAGGACTAAAATTCTTCCACCGTAAATAGAAGAATTGAACAAAATAAACAAGAATACTTAAAACAATAAGCTCTTGCGAGTACAGAGCAAATTCTTGTGCATTCGAAAAAAGGCGAGAAAAATAAAAATTCTTCAAGATCTAAATATTGCATTTTCACCATATTGTTAGACCTCACGGTAAGTTTTGAGAAAAGTATTACATCAAGGTTGTCTATGTTCAAATACTAGTACTACCGAGGATTCCCGCATAATTCATAAAGTTAAGGTCTCCGCTGAGAGTCGTTTACAAAGAACAGCACAATACAGTAGGGTAAAATTAGCCAAAAACCATGTTATGTACAGAACTGAAGCACAGCTTCATGCTTTCTCCTTCTCATTGTCCCCTTTTCTTGTTTAACGGAGGAAATGATGTGTGAGTCAGATATCTCTTAACAAAAACATTGTCGTCCAGCCAAAGGATTTTCAACCCCAGGGGCGATCAGGCAGTCACAAGATGGGGAGATGCTCGTGGAAGGCCACACGAGTAAGTGACATACTTGACACTATCTATAAGCACACCACAAAAATCCGAGGAAGTGATTTAGGCTTCATCACACCATCCACGTCAGCATCTCCCACCTCTTTGGGATCAACAAGGACCGAAACCACCATGGAAGATGTTGATTTATTACCATGGAGGTTCTCGTTCTGGGAATTTCTCATAACATGTTCTTCACTTGTGTTGAGACCAGATCCGGCAAGGGAACGTGGCAGCTTGTGAAGGAACCTTCTATTCCTTCTCTTGTTGATGCTTGTATCATTCTGGCGGTTAACAGGAGAAACATTTGCAACTGATGATGCTGGAACTATAGCTCCCGGTTTTGGCGAAGCATCAAACTGGAAAACCTCCGTGCACATCCCAGAACTCAACATTGGCCCTGCATCAGGAACCCAGAACTTTCAGTAATTGTGAGAAATATGGGTAAAATTGGGAGAAGAACAAAATAGAAACACTGCTTCCCCCCTCTAAGTTCAAAATGGAAACATGTCACCAAAGAGAATAAGAGAAGATTGGCAGCATTCTAGAAGAAAAGCCAGAAATGCATTTCCTGGCGGAGTGTATTAGTGACTGTATAAATAACAACAATGTATGAAAAAGATATTGAATAAAGACAACACTTCAAAAAAGCCAGAGTACTGTGCTTTAAAAAAA